CTCTGAAAAAATCATGTCAGACCTGGTGTCATTGTTAGTTAAAAAAGACCACACACCACATTGTGGCACTCTCCACACCCTTGGAATATGCATTCCTCATGGTATATTAGTACACCTGTCCTGGGGATGATGATAGATCATATCAATCACTTCCCTATTAGTCACAAATATTAATGATGGCTTAGAGATGTTGCAGTTGCATGTGGTTGTATTGTTCTTGTGCCACTTCAAAATATATTTTCCTTAGTTCCCCAAGTCAGATTTGTGTGGTTTTTTCATGTGATCTCCAAAGTTTTGGTCAAATCCATACTTAATATTTCCCAAGAACTGGTGAGCTGGGAGACTGAGGGAGATGAACACGCAGTGCTTTAAGTAATATTGTGTGTCCATCCAAAAACTTGGATTAACTGCCACATAAGATTTGAAGTGAGACCTGAATTTCCATCTAGTAACATAACCCCTTGAAGCATTCAACAGGACCATTATCTTGGAGATATTATGGAATGTGAAATATCCATCAGATTTCTTCCTCTTTGGACCTGTCTTGAACCATCATGGCTGTTAAACCTGAGCCATTGTCACTCTGAATTTCCAGTGGGAGGGAGAGTGTGCTGAACCATTCTTGCATAATTCCGCTGATACCTCCCAGATAGACAGACCACTATAGGTTCCTGAGCAGTGCCTAGAGGTGACACTGTACCCTTATGAACTACATCTGTGAGGTGGGAAGGTCCCCTAATGATCACACTCTATCCTCTCTTTATCTGTTCTACCTGTTTCAAGGGAGACCAACCCTTTTCAAGATCGGAGCACCTCATTTTAGTATCACTGAAAAGAGTGGGTGCTAAACTCCAGTGGTGTCTCCACCTGTTCTGGCCCCTTTTGCCATAGATCACAATGAGATCCATGCCCAGTGAATCCTCATTCTATGTGAATGAGGTCAGTTGGGTGTATGGGACAGAGTTGTTGGAACAATCTCAGTTCACTTATTAACACTTCTAATACATTCATGTGCAGTTACATCATTCCCATGATTTTCTTTTCCTCAGTAGTCCATAAAGAGGTCAAGCTATAATGAAAAGAAAATGTGGTCAAGGAGGGGAATTATGAAAAACATATCCTTCACATCTAGAGTAGCCATCTATGTATAAGCAGACCCTGTGGCAGTGTCACCATCTCGACAATGTTTGGAACTGCAGCAATTGAAGTTGCAGTATTAACAAAAAAATGTTGACAATCCATGATGAAATACCACTGTTGGTTTGTTTACTGGCCACACTGGTGAATTATAAGGCAAGTGATGCCTCTTTTTCCAAATCTATCACCACCCAGTCCTCATGAATGCTACTGCTGGTAGGAGGCACTCCTTTACATTTATGAATTTGGAAGAGGGCAGTGGTATTGATGTTTTTAATAGGTTGATAAGTTTTGCAGACCCTGAACTGTCCCACATTCTTTCAGATTTTATTTCTATCTCTGGCAACCCAGTCGCCTTCTGTTGTGAAACTCCACAGGGTTCCATCTGGGAGTTTATAGGTTTGACCTTAAAGTAGGTAAAGTCCTAAAATATTTGTTTGGGCAGCACTCCCAAGCACTTCAACCTTAGTTAATAATCTAACACAAATTTTGTTAAGAGACAGGGTGTTAAAGGGGTGAAATGTGCTGACTTGGTGAGGAGCACATGCTCAGACACATGTAATGACATAGGCATTCCTGGACAAGTGACCAGCAGGTCAAGAGAGTCAGGAGTGGAGATCTGAGCCCAAACAAGCAGGAAAATGTGGCTGCCTTAGCTCATAGCAGAGTTCCTGCTCACAAGAGAGTGAATCTGACAGAGGGCTGACATGAGAAGAGGCTGAGAGATCTGGGTTTGTTCTGCCTTAAAAAGAGGATTGGTGTGGCATCTTATTTCTTCCCTGAACTGCCTGATGGAGGGAGATGCCATACTCTTCTCAGAGGTGCACAATGAAAGGATGAGATGTTATGGACAAAAGTTGCATGAAAGTAAGTTAGATATAGGAATTAGGTACTAAACACCCCCTCCTCCTTTTTCACCATGAAGAGCATCAAACTCTAGGAGAGGGTCCCAAAGAGATGGCAGGATTTCCATCCTTGGAGGTACTTAAAACTCAGCTGGACATGGCCCAGCACAGCCAGCTCTAAGTCCCGCTTTGAGGGGTGGTTGGAGCAGAGATCTTCAGAGGTTTCTTATATCTTTTTTATTCTACTGTTTTAAGATAGAGGCTAAGCCTTTGCACTTCTGATCTTCTGACATCTTCCCTCAGTTCCTCCCCATTAGTACAGGAGAGCAGAAAAGTTCTTCTCTGGCCTTTAGGGAATAATCCTAGAACAGCTGAGTGTGATGTAGTACAGAAGACACATAATGACTGTCAAGACAGGACCCAAGTTTCTCTAGTGAGGAGTTCAAACTGGGAACACCTTGTTCAGCAGAATTTCTTGTAGTGGATATTTGTGGTTTTTGGACTTTCTCCATGGTGCATTTTCAAGTGGCAAAGCAGTGACTGTCTCAGGCTGCTTTAAGGAATGTGTTCTGGCACTTTTAGGGTACTGCATGCAGCAAGTTAAGCAGTCCAAGTCTCCCAAAGGTCAAAGCAGTCACTGTTGTGCTTAGGGTGCAGTGTCCATACAGGGAAGTAGAAAATACATGGAGAAATTGAAATGACAGACAGAAAGGCAGTTCATTTAGCAAATACTGCAAAGAATTTGCAGAAGTGGAAGTACATGGAATTTAGAAAGTTATCTACAGCATGACACAATGGTAGCAACGGGGCACCAGAGCACAAGAAATAAAGAAATTAAGAACTACTAGTTTTCTTACAGCAACATCTTGCTGTCCAGCTCCATGTCATACATTATTGCTTAGTGCAACCTCATCTCAGAAAAAACTTCTGATGTCTTGCAGGGAAAAGTTATTGAGGAAAGAGGGTTTGCTGGAGACGGGGCTGCTGGTGGGGCAAACTGCAGGGCACAGAAACCATATCTCTAACCTACATAGAATGTGCTCTGCAGGGCTGGATTCAGCTCACCTTCAGCTCACAAAACAGAAGAGATTACACAAGCCAAGGGCTGGGAAGAGATTTGAAGGTCTACACAGATGCGTATTTCATTGTACAAAGAAAAACAGCAATTGTCAATCTGCATCATCAAACACAGCATCTAGAAAATGGTATGAGGTAGAACAGGTAGAACTGTTGTTGAGGTTGTGGAACTCTTTCCAATGGGAGGCTCAGCACAAGGCAGGATGTTAGTCAGGTCCCATTCCCACTGGGGAAGTGCATCTGTTTGTTTAGGATTCCAGGAATAGCACTGTGGATGTATTTCTTGGGAAAAACAAACCCAGCTAACATGCATCATCCAATCCTAGGCTGTTGAATGAACCAATTTCCAAGAAATGCCTGAGGGAAGAAGCCCTTTGCAAAGGGTTGTTAGTGCCTCTTACTAATCCAAGTTCCAAAGGCAGAATGGGTCAGTGAAAGCCCAAACCAGGCTAATACAGGGCCATCTTCAGGGCCAGGCTTCAGCTTTAATGAAAGAAGAGAAGCAGCATTGGAATCCAGAGGTATTGCCAAAACCAGTCTATGTTTTAATTTCTAAGATATAAAAGGAAATATTAACTCAGTAACAACTTACCACCACACAGAACAGCTTGATATGCCCACCAACCTATTTGAAATGTTTCTGTTGTACAGGAGCATAAAAATAGTACATTTTCCAGGCTCAGCACATGCAGATTTTCAACACAATTTTTAATTGTGCCATTGGACTGAAAAGCCACTGAGGGCTTTTTCTCCCCAGTAGGGACAAAAAGATCCATTCCCGTGGCCAGGTGAATGTGGTAGCTCTTAGCAGTTCTGGAGCTCACATGGTTAAGTGGGTGCATTTTTATTTGTGTAGCCTAAGTATCCTCTGACACTGTTGAATGCACCAGAAAATGCAGATGTTTGGAGCTCTGCTGTTCATGATTAGGACTTTTCAAAGGTAACATTGACCAGTTGATTTTATGGAGAGGTTACAGTTTGCAAGTCCTAACAGAAGTGTGCTGTAAATGATTTGGTTTTAAATCCATTCTACAGAGTGGTGCTGATGTGATTTTCATTTGCAACTGATTGTTAATAGGCCATGCTTGACAGGCATTTCCTATTTATTTTGGCCTTGTTTGGTCAAGTGTGTGCATGTGTGTGTGAGCTACTGTTTTTCTGTAAGATCATTTGCAATCATTTCACAACCTGCTACTGTCACAGGCTGCTGCTGGAGAAACAGTGCCCCCACCACCTGCCCTGTCTGCCCTTCACTTCTCCTGGTTGGACAGCCCAGGGTCTGATAATGGCACTTTATGTGCCAGCTTTCATGACTTACTGATGATTTTAGTGGAAGCAGAAGCCTGTAGGAGACAGAATGAGGAGTTGCTCCGGGGATGTGGGAGCAGAAGGAGGGATGGATGGTGCACCAGGAGAGCACAGTAGCACTACAAGTGTTACTGGTCCTGGGACAATTACAGGGATGGTAATGGAAATTGATGAGGAAACTTATCTAGCCTAGAGGTGCCCTTTGAGTTCACTGTGGCCTGGGCATAAAAGAGAGTTGCTAAGTGGTTCCAGTAAGGAAGGAGCGATTATGCAAATATATAAATACTGAAATAAATACGTAAATACTGAAGAAGATGGAGAAATGTGAAAAAAATCCCAAGGAATTGCTTGAAAATGGTTCTGTTAGGTCCAGGTTAAAGACTGCTAACAAAGGAGCTTCTTTGGCACATTTTTTTTCCTTCATTGATAAGTATGTGTGAATCTCTCCTTTCTAATGTTTGTATGAATCAAATGATGGAGTGATGACTGCTCAGGCATGTGTTTTGGAAGTGTGATGGATTAGATGGTTTCCATGGATTTTTCCTGCTGCTGTTGGTCCTAATGTCTTCTCTGTCAATACTGTGTCTGAATGCTAACTCACCCTCTTCTTTTGTCACATTTGTCTTCCTGCAGGCATACATGCTGAAGTCATTTGAAATGAATGGCCTGCCCAAGGCGGTCCCTTTAAGTTTGCCTTATCAAGACTTTAGAAAAGATATGTGCAACTACTGGGAAAAGCCTAAGTTATCCCAGCGGATAAAGAAAGTTGATTTCTCAAATATTGTCTTTACTGCTCCTTGCAAACCTCTGGAACCTTATCTGGAAATGAATGGAAAAGAGGAGGAGGAGGAGGAAGAAGAGGAGGAAGACTACGAGGAGGAGGAAGATGAGCAAGATGAGGAGGAGGAGGAAGAGGAGGGCAATGAGATTGACATGCACAGTGATTCCAGCAGCGACCTGAGTCAGAAGAGCACGGAGCGCAGCCAGGAGTGTGCACCATCCACGCTTCTGGCTGATGACCAGAAGGGGTCCAAGGGTCGAGTATCCACTGCAGATGGGGACCTGGAGCTGGAGGAAGGCTCAAAAACATTAGTGCTGTTTTCACCAGGTGATCTGAAAAAGTCTCCAGTGGCTGCAGACTTACCTCCAGAAGTTGATCTGGGCACTCTTGCTGCACTGACACCTCAGAGTGAGCGGCCACAGCCCATGGGGAGCCAGCTGGATGTGTCTGAGCCAGGGACCCTGTCCTCAGTCCTTAAATCTGAACCAAAGCCTCCAGTGGCAGTGGCTACAGCTTCCTCCCCATTTACCAAAGTGGAGCGCACATTTGTTCACATTGCTGAGAAGACCCACCTCAATGTGATGTCTTCCAGTGGGCAGCTGGTGCGGCACGAGGAGTACTGTCCCCTGGGGCAGTTCGAGGAGGTCATCGTCGAGGAGGAGCTGGACCACCACAATCTGGTGCTGGTGGAGAATGGAAGCATTCATTCTGGGCTGGAAGGGGCAGAGACAGAGAGCTGTGCGCTTTCGGCCAACCCTGTCGAGGCCACCTCAGAGACTGTGGGGGAGCAGCTGGCCCTTCCCAATGGCATGCCGAAGCTTCCCGAGGATGAGCCAGAGCTCTCCAGCAAAGCAGTGCTCTTACTGGATTTGGAAGAGCCTGACAAGGTGGCTACAAGGGAGCCTGGCCTCGAGAAGGCAGCATCAGAGACAGAACACCTGAAGCGAGCAGAGACCCTCCTCGAGATGCCGCAGCAGGATCCCAGGAGGCCACTGGGCTCCAAATATAGAAGTCGGATACCCATTTTGTTCTCTGAGGAGGACACTGGCTCAGACCTTTCAACTTCAATCTCAGCCAAAGAAAGGCTTTATAAGAGGGCAAAGCAACCCGACCTAGCTCGCCTGGTGATGGAAAAGAGACAGAGCCGCCTCCTCCAGCTGGCCTCAGGTGCCTCCTCCTCAGCCTCATCCAGTGATGAGCGGCGGCGAGCCTCTGAAACCCTGTCAGCCACCGGTTCTGAGGAGGACACCCACGACTCTGATGACTCCATCCCACAGAAGGGAGAGAAGAAGGCTGTGCTGCTGGGGAGAGAAGAGAGAGCCATAAGCACAAGGAGCAGAATTCCTCGTCCCATCGTGCCAGTGAAAACACCACTGGAGGTCTCAAGGTCGGAGAGCTCCATGGCTGCTGCGGTGGCAGGGCTGTGCAGCTCCCCACAGGATGCAGCTGCTGCCTGCAGGTAAGACAAAAATGGTGAGAAATGCAAAGAGCTGGGCTTGAGGAGTTGAGGAGACACAGCCAGGGCTTTGCTCGCCTACTATGACTTTATCCTTTGCTCAGCTTGAATGCATAGTCCAGCCTTGTTTCCTACAGTCATTTCAGCCTGCAGGTGTGTGAAATACTCACCTCTCTGTCTTCTTCTTTGAAAGTCTCTCTTCACTTGCCCTGGCTTTGAGACCTTTCCTTTTGCAAGCCCTTTCACTTGGTCTGATAATAGCAGATGCCCCTAGTGTTGAGCTGGGGTTTTGCAGCACAGTCATGACTGCAGGGACAGTTGGCCTCCCGGCCTGACTATTGCAATTAGAGCTGCAAGGACAATGAGGTTGTCAGCTAGGATTGCCTCAGTTGGTTTATCTTCTATCACAGTTATCATCAGAGGCCAACTGGTGCAATCCAACTCATGCCCAAATTTTATCTCCTACCTTGGAAGAGGTTGCTGCATCCATTCTGCATGTCAAGAAGAGTCCCAGATACCATGCCTGCATGTTGACTCAGAGAGTGCTGGAGGATAAGGCAAACACCTAGCAGTTAACTGCATTGAGTTACGGGATGGTGTTCAAACTGGTGCCCCATCTGGTTCATAGGTTCTGCATAGGTTCTGCCATCCTGGTGCTGGAGGCTCCTTGTAATTGCCTGGCAACACTCATGCCACTCCTCCCAGGTGCCCAAGAGTCCCTTACAAAATTCCCCTTCACCCTTCTTTTCTTCCTCTGCAGGCTTCAGACACAGAGATCATCTGGAGGTGTCCCATATGACGGCCGAACAGCACAGGTACAAAATCATCTTCCTTCGTCACTGAGTTCCACTTCTCTTCCTCCATGGAGCAGCTCACAGAGATCCAGTGGTGCATCCCCTCGGAGCCCTGTCATTCCTTCCAGGAATCCCAGTACTTCCTCCAGAGGCCAGCTGCTTCCTCGGAGGGAAAGTCCTTCTCCCTGCCGACAGCATAAACCAGGGACTGCTCCTCAGCGAGTTCCTCCTTCTCCCCGACCTCAGCCCTCAGCTCAGGCCCCAGAGCCTACAGGAGATTCCCTGCCATCTCCTGGCATGGCCAAAAAACGACAAAGAGGAAAAACCCAGACTCAAAGTCCAGCAACCAAAGGAAAGCAGGTGTCCCTGGAAAGTAAGGCAGCTGCCAGATAATGACCTTCTTCTGCGAGCCCGGCAGACTGGGTAACTTCTGCATATAGTATACACTTGAGATGCTGCAGCACAGCCTTCCATGCTGGACCCATGAGTGTATAGAAGTAGCTGTACTTGAATGCTTCACTCACTCCCACCCCACACTGCAATCAGCTCCCACGAGCCTGGCAGCCTCCAAGCCATGGAACCTTTCCAAGGGAGACACACAGCCCGCAGCTCACACTTGCTAATGCACAGCATCGAACCGTGACCCAGGCAGCCTGCCCAGTGCCTGACCTGCCTCCTTCCCCAGGGATTCCCCTCTCTGTTAGCAATACCAGTCCTCAACATCAACTCCAGCTGTGGAAAGAGGAGCAGAGGTGACAAGAGCAAGACCTGCTAAAGAGGAAGGCTCCTGTCCTTCAGGCAGCTCCTTCCTTTCTCCTTGCTGGGAAAACACGAGCCTTGGTCACCCATCACCATCTCCCTGAGTGTTGGCTCATCTCCCACCACCTGTTAGCAAGGGATTGCCACTAGCATATTCAAGAGGGATAGATGCATCCTTGTGTGCTGAGATAAGAGGAGGGGTAAGGAGGAGAGGGCTCTTCTTTCTAGAGATGCCTCTACAGGCGGGAATTAGGAGACAGGCAGGTCTTGCGGGATGCTCCTACCTGCTCCGGTATGTCGCGCTGAGGAGGCTGTCTAGCATAGCTGCTCAGACACTGCTCCTGTTGCAGCAGATTGCCTGTGTGGTGGGTACTTAGGTGGAAATAAGGATGTGTTGGCAGCTTGCTGGGAAATCAAGAGCTCTTGCTAATTAATGTAGAAGGGAGCACACTGCAGCCACTTCTGTCACAAATACCAAACTGGGATCTGTGGACACCACATCCCCCAGCAAGGGTGATTCCTGTCAGCCTGAGCGTGGTTGGTGCCGTAGACCTGTAGTCCACCAAACACAGCTCCATTATGAAGATGTAAATAGTCACTGGATGCCTTTAGCCTGGGTGCCCCTTGCACCTGAATTCCTTTTGTTTTATTGTCACGCTCTTGGTGTTTGTGAATTTTGGCACTGTGGTTGAAAGTTCCCCTACGCAGCAGGGTGGGAAATTATTATCCTGTAGTATACACAAAACCCACTGCTTTGCAATAAGAGGTTTGCTGGCATGCCACAGCCACGTGCATTTCTATCTGAGGGGACAGTGGTGGGATTTTTGTCTTTTCCTTGGTGCTCACCTCTGCCACACGATGAGGATGAGCAAAGTGAATGTAAAAGCAAGGGCTGTGCTCTCCAAGTAATATTATCTGAGCAGAAGCTTAACACTCAGCTAGAGTTAAATCAACCGTTTAGCCCCCAGACTAATTAGGAAGGCTTGAAAGTGAAAGCAAGGAGGACTGATACCTGTCTGATCTTGATAAGATCTTGAAGTGGACAAAATTTTCCCTATGCCTCACAGGAGAAAACACTCTAGCCCCAAATACTTTGTGCTTCACACCATTGTCATGCCTAAAAGAGGCTTTGCATAAGGCAGAACAAAAAAAAAGCTGTTCTGTACACCCATTCTTGTAGTTGCAACTACCTGCAAATAATTACTATTTCCAGACAAGAAAGCTTGACAGAGAAATCTGAACGGTAATAAGCTTTATTCATTTGACCATGAATGCAGTCACATTGATGGCCATCGAATCCTGAAGCTGCTCATATCTACAGGAGTCCTAGAAAGGAGTATGAGAGTTGTAACAGGGTGGCTGGGAGCAAAGGGTACTTCTTGCACACCTGAACAGGGAAATGTGTAGAAATAGGAGACAGGAATTACCTCTTTATATAGCAGTCTCAGTGTTGCCAACACTAAGAATTTATTTCACCTAGCTCAAAGCGTTTTCCATTGATATGGTTCACCCTGGTCAAGTAAGCAGCATGGCTTAGTCTGAAAACATGCCCTCATCTTTTCAGAGCAGTACTGGGAACTCAGAGGGACCTCAGGCTGTGGTCTGATGAACTGAGCTGTTGCCATCAAAAGTAACATCCCTCCAAGTTCCAGCTGCTTCGTTGCACAATTCCACCACATTTACACTGCAGCAGCTGTTTGATAAAGTGTTTGGAAATGCTGATCCAGCACGACATGAACTGCTGATTCACCAGTTTAGGTTTCATCTGGTTCATTTCATCACTCTAGTTCACCATTTGGTCACACAACCAGAAGAAGACACAGAGACTGTGACCACTTCTGGTGGCACTCTAACTACAAGGTTGAAGTGTGGATCAGACTAGAACCTAAGTATGTGCTGCAGGTTTAGAAACTAGAATAAACTCAAAGACAGATTCTTCCCAGAAATATAAATCATAATTGGACTCCTATTAATTTATTGGAGGTCTATTAATTTTAGAGTGCTCAGATGGTAAGACTTGGTTGTGAAGCCCTTACCAGATGGTCCATCCAGGTCTTAATGCACATGCCAAAAATGACATTGAAAAAGCTTTGAAAGAGGGCTACAGGACTATTGACAGGGATAGCAAACCTGCCTCATCATGGGAAGCCAATAAAGCACAGTGTATTTGTTCAGGAAAAAGTTTAGAGGACAGTTTTCTGTGGCCCTATGTCAGGAAGGAAGCTCCAGGGCAGAGACAAGGCTGGGTTGGACAGGGCCCTGAACATCTTGGAAGGTGTCCCTGCCCATGGCAGAGGGCTGAAACTGGATTATCTTTATGGTCCCTTCCAACCCAAACCATTCTATTGTTCTGTGATTCTGTGGTCTTCCTCTGGCACATGAAAGCAGAGAAGTCAGAGCAACCAAGAACAGCAGATGAAGAAATCAAGCAGGCTTTTAACTGTGAAGCAACCATCCAGTGAAGTCTTTCACAGGACTGGGGGGGGGGGTTTCTTTTTAAAAGGTTTCTGTGAAACTGAGCTGTCTTCTAAGAGGTCTGTCTACCGTGACCCCACCACAAGAAGCAGGCAGGATTCTGGTGACACCAAGGTATCATCTCTCTCTCTGTGGTGCAGTGGATTCCTGGTCCCACTGGGATACATGCCAAAGCTGGTATGTACTGGAGAGCCACCTGACAGGTCCACAGGTTTCAGAAAGCAAGGGAAAGATGGCCAGCACAGAAAATAACACTGTTCACAATGTTGTTTTACAGGGCTGGGCTGAGGGTGCAGCTGGGTCTGTAGAGATCTGAGACTGGCATGAGTCATCTCTCCTCATAGTTGTGCTACCAGACTCCCTGCTCCTGCACAGCCCTGCTTCCCAGCTCTCCCTGGCATGGAGGGCAGCAGGAGAGTGCATCAAAGCATGATGTGTCCCAGGTCATGTTCTTCTGGATGAAGATTCTCCCATCTAGGACAGCAGCACACAGAATTTCCTCTGGGTCCTCTCTTCTTTTGCTGTCCTGCAGGAAAATTGAAGGGGCACCTGCCATAGCTGGAGTAAACAGAGAACATGTCTGGGGACAAGAGGGGATGAGGCCTGTGATGTTAGGGAGAAGTTAGGTGGTTGAGGAATGCCAGAGCATCTAATCTGGCATCACAGGACATGGTGGCTGTCACATCCCAGAAAGGTGAGAGAGGCAAGACCCTGTTGGTCTCTGCTATGAGTCTTGTGCAAGCTCTGTCAAGCCTTGAGGGTACATAGGGGCTGCTCAACCACTGCTGGGGGTGTGTGGCCGTGTCTTTGCAGGTGATTGTGCCCGTGTGTGTTTTGAGGGAACTCCTGGGACAGGCCACCACTGTTCCTTCATCTGAGTTCATCTGCATGGGTAGGGAGAGACAGGTCTTGTTCATGTATGTTGGGACTACAGGAGCCTTTGGGACTGCCTGGTGTTATACTGAGTCCTCACTTTCAGGGGCCTTGCCCACCAGCTGAGATGGCACCCTGGCTGGTGAAAAGGACCCAATGGCACCCTGGCCAGCCAGGAGCTGCCTGCAAAGAAACATGGATACAGGAAGGATGTGCCAAGTGGGGAATCTGACAGGCAGTTTGCAGTG